GTGATTGAGGTTTCTCCAAAACCTCAATCCTCAAATCTAATTCTCTCCCTATAACCCCACTTAAAGGAGGAAGTAGTAATTAAAGGAGGGATAGTTTTTTAGGTGGGAGTGAATGAGAAAAAGAGGATCGTTTTGAGCAGACGGGGGTTAATGGTGGGATTGTTTCCAAAATTCTCATAGTAGGATTGTTTTGAGAAGATGAGCAAATTTGGGATTATTAGTTTCAATTTTTCCTATTTTATTTGATAAAATTTTTATAAAATTATTAAATTTAATAAATTTACCTAAAATTATATTTTTTTTTTCCTAAATAAACTTAAGATTGTTCGAACTATATCATCTGAAATAAGACAAATTGTACCTTAACCTTTTAATTAATTGTCAACAAACATATACTAAATTAGAGTTTTTGTTTAAATAATTCCTCTTTTTTTTTGGTGAATCATTAATTTTCCTATGAACTTTATTGCTTACCTATTAATTCTAATATTAACGGTTAAGTTTGGCAAAAAAAAAAATTAACGGTTAAGTTTCATTTTTCTCGATATTTCAATCTATATTTAAAATACTATTATTTTCGAAAACCGAGCATGGCTTGAGAAGTTGAGAATTATCTAATTTTTATCTATTACGGAGTAGAATACCTTTAATTATTGTAATTAATTATAGTTTATTAAGGAGTAGTATTTTATAATGATAAAGTGAAATAAAACACAAGCAGGAGAATAAATATTGTACTTGGGATATGTTGCGCAGAATTAAAGAGGGGTGTTCTCTACCTTGTGTGATGTTCGGCAACTTTAATGAGATTGTCTGTCATGATGAAAAAGAGGGTGGGGTGCCTAGGAGTGAACGATTGATGGATGCTTTCTGAAATACAATTGATGATTGTAGCCTTTAGGCTTAGGGTATAAAGGAAGCATATTTACATGGAAACGTGAACCTACTCCTGCAACTTTCATAAGGGAGGGACTTAACAGATTTTAGCGGATGGGGAATGCCCAAATGGTGTGGGATGTTCCCGTACTATGAGGTGAGACATTGCCCTATCTACCACTCTGAGCATGCTCCAATCTCGCCGAAGGTGAGCAGTTATTACGAGCGAGGGCAAGAAGGAAAAAGTGTTCAAGTTCGAAGAATGTGGTTATCTAATGCGGAGTGTGGGAAAATAGTTGACGAGGCATGGTGAAATGCCACCGAGGAAAATGTTGCAATGAGACTTGTAAAGTGTGCTGAAAGTCTTGCCTTATGGGCTGCTCGTATTTAGTGAATCAAAGTAGAAAATCAAAGATGCAGTACATGCAGAAGAAAAATTAAGAGTGGTGTAGAGTCGTGAACCTGATGCGGCAATGCTTGAGGAATGTTCTCTTTTGCTAGTCAAACGGATGATCTACATAAATTAGAAGAGTCTTATTGGCACGCAAGGGCAATGGAGAATGAAATGAGGGACGGAGATAAAAATATGACATACTTTCCACAAAAAGGTTAGCAATCGGAGACATGTTAAACAACAATATAACATTAGTGGGCCCTATGATGAAGAGGGGACATGGAGGAGTAGTAAGACGGAAATAATGGAAGGGATCGTGGCAAATTATTTCAGGAAGTTATTTTAGTCTAACGAATCGTTCAAGTTTGAGCAAGCACTTGAAGGGGTTGAATGTGTTGTCAGAATTGTCACTAAGGATATGAATATTGTGCTTAATTCTGAACCGACAACAGAGAAGATAAAAAATGCTCTTCTTTTTCAAATGCACTTGAATAAGGCTCTAAGACCCGATGATATGCATGCTTTATTTTTGTAGAAATTTTGGCATATCGTGGGAAAAGATATTATTCGATTTATTAAAACTTGGTGGAATGGTTCGGAGAATTTGGATGTGGTGAATAAAACTTATGTAGTTTTGATTCAGAAATGTAAAAATCCTAAATACATAACGGAATTCAGACCCATTAGATGTTGCAATTTGCTTTATAAGATAATATCGAAAATGCTAGAAAATAAAATGAAAATATTTTTGGACAAAATTAGCTCGTGCTCTTGTTCTGAAAAGATTAATTACGGATAATGCCTTAATTGCGTTTGAGAATATTCATATTGTGAAGAGAAAGGGGGAGGGGAAAGATGGTACGATTGCGTTGAAGTTGGACATTATTAAGGCGTATGATAAGGTTGATGGGGTTTCTTTGAAAGGGTAATGTATAAAATGGGTTTTGGTGACACTTGGGTTCGAATGATATTGGATTGCTTGTCGAGTGTTAATTTCTCCTTTAAGATTAATGGAAATATTTCGGGTTCTGTTACTCCTTCGAGGGGATTGAGAATAGGGGATCCAATATCCTCGTATCTTTTCCTTATTGTTGCGGATGCTTTCTCAACTTTACTAAGGCAGCGCGGGAGAATGTTATTCATGGGGCTAGAATTTGTCGGGGTGTACCTAGAATTTCTCACTTATTTTTTTGCAGATGATAGTATCTTTTTTGCTAAGGAAATTGTTGAAGAATGCTCGGTGATAGCTGACATAATAAAAAAATATGAAAGAACGCCGGTTCAAAAGGTTAATCTAAGTAAAACAAATGTGGTCTTAGTAAAAATGTGGACAACAATCGGCAAAATGAAATAATGAATATAGGAGTGAATAAGGAGTTGGAAAAGCATGAGAAGTAACTTGGTTTACAAATGATAATTGGTAAATCGAAAAAGGCGATTTTTGCAAGCATTAAGGAGAGAATTTGGCAAAAAAAAAAAACCAAGCTTGGTATGAGAAGCTACTTTCAAAACTCGGAAGAGAAATGTTGATTAAAATTGTTGCTTAAGCTATTCCAACATATATGATGAGTATATTTCGGATCTAGATGGAGTAATTGATGAAATTCTTTCACTCTTGGCTCGATTTTGGTGGGGATTGAATGACATGAGTAGGAAGATGCATTGGCATAGTTAAGAATCAATTTGTAAACCGAAGGCTATAAGAGGAATGGGTTGTCTTGGTTAATGTTGTGATAAAAGCTCGTTATTTCAAGCATGAATCACAGAATGAATTGTGACCTAGAGCTGAGAGTTCTTCATTGATTGATGCTCACTGTAATGAATAGGGCACTAATATGCTATCTACCCTTATTGATGCTGAGGTATGTGATCAAGTATGTCAATTGCCTTTAGCCACTGCCCATATCCTTGATATGCGCTTTTGGTGGCCTGCAAAAAATGGGATTTTTAGTGTCAAATATGCATATCGCCTTGGAAAATTAGGGGTGGATTATATAAGCAATTCGAACCAAAATGAAGATGAAAGGAAACTCTGGAAATTGGTTTGGGGCTTAGGTGGTCCTCCGAAATTGTCCCATTTTGTATGGAGAGCTTTTAAAGGTAGTCTTGGGTAGGGGTGATAATGAGACAGAGCTATTCGTGAACTATTCGAGCTCGATTCGGTCAAAGCTCGGTCGAAGCTCGATTCATGGTGCCTCGGCTCGGGTTTGAGTTTGGCTCGAGACCTTAACAAGCCAAGCTGAGTTATACCAAGCTCGGCTCGAAAAGTTCGTGAACAAGCTCGTTTATTTTTTCCATATTAAAAAATCATGTATATAAATATAATTTTTTTTATCAATAGATATTACACAACAATAAGTTAGTATTTTCATTATTAAAACAATAAACTCGTTATAAAGTAAAAAATTTAATAATGAACAATAAAGAAGACAAGTAAATTAGGGCTAAGAATAAATCAAGGTTGTTCGTGAACAATTCGAGTTCGGCTCGGTCAACGTTTAGTCAAAGCTCGGCTCGGTCGAAGCTCGACTCATAAAGGTTCGAATTCGATTCGAGTTCGAACAAATTTAAACGATCACGAGCTGAGCTGACCATAGTTCGGGCTCGGCTCGCCCGATTAGCACCCGTAGTCTTGGGGGTAAAAAAAGGAGCTTCACATAAGGCACATTGCAACTGGCGAGAAATTCACAGCATGTGACGGTAAGTGGAATCCGTCTCTCACACTATCTTTGACTATAAGATCGTCAAGCATGTTTGGGATAGCAACACTTATGGGGTTTGGTATTTGATTCTTCTTCTCATATTTCTTTTAATTGCTGAAAGAATGGTGTGGTTGGCAAGCAAGATTAGCTGAAAAGAATTATGCACTTTGATGGATGGAGCTTGGTCAATCTGGTTTTGCAGAAACAAGCGTATTTTTGAAGGAAGAGTTTTAAATATGAATGTAATAATGGCCTCATGCTATGCAGAGCTTATCCACGATTATAAGCTTTATTGCTAAAGTCTTCCCCTACAAGCGTGATGTGACAAATAGGCTTGTAAGTGCGTGGTCTGCCCCCCTAATACTACCATAAAAATATATTTTGATGCTCATGTATGCTCTGATTCGGCTGGAGGTATTAGTGCAGTAGCAAGGGACAACAATGGGCAATTAGTGTGGGCTGCTGTGAGTAGGGCAATTAGTGTGGGCTGCTGTGAGTAGGGTTGTCAAACGGGTCGTGTTGTGTCGTGTTCGTGTTCGTGTTCGTGTCAATGCTAAACGGGTTGAAAAACCCTTGACCCAAACCTAATCCGTTTATTAAACGGGTTGTAAACCCTTGACCCAAACCTAACCCGTTTATTAAACGGGTTACCCGGGTAACCTTTTACCCATATAAGACTATCTGATACTCCGTAAACTAATTAAAATTCAACTTAGAAATTGAAAAGACATACACCATATTAAAGATACAAGATTTTAAAGTTAGTTTAAGCAACTACAAAAGTTTAAAGCTAGTGGTTTTAACGACAAAGACATAAAAGTAAGGTAAGTCACTAAGCCTAGGTATTTAGAATCCTCTGAAGTGGAAAAGTGAACTGTTGAAAAGTTACAACCCCAAACCCGACTTGACCCAAACGGGTTGAGAATTCTTGACCCAAACCCGTTTATTTCGTGTCGAGTTGTCGTGTCGTGTCAGCTTTTGATAGCCCTACTTGTGAGAAGACTTAATAAGAGTTGGGATGTGGAGTCTGCGGAGGTGGCTGATGCTCGTTTTAGATGCTTGGTTGCTAAGAGATTGGGGTTTTCTCGCGTGTGGCTGGAGGGTGATGCTCTGTCAGTCATCAATACTATCAATGATACTTCTTGCGGCCGGTCTCCTTTATGGCTGCTATATGATGATTTGCGTTCTTTAGTTAAATCTTTCAATGCTTATAAGTTCACACATGTAAAAAAAGGTAATGTAGTAGCTTAGCATGTAGCCCGGTGGGAAACTAATAGTTGTTCCGAAAGAATTTGTATGAGCTCGTTTATCTTTTAACCTTGACTGAACTCGATTTTAATTTTTTTTTTTTTTTTTTTGATAAAGACTTTATTTGATTAATCTGTAGCATATGTGCATAACTTATTTAACATTCCAGCATATATTCAAAGCCAATTCAAATCAAATCAAAAACTATTGAAGCATGGACAACAAACCAAACCCCAATTCAATACGAGTCCTAATTCGTCCACCTCCAACTCCACAACCTTCATCTTCATCACCATCTCCCTCCTCTCCTTCTCCGCCGCCACCTCCGCCGCCTCGTCCGCCTCTCTCCTCCGCAACTCCCGCCCAACCTCCGCCGCCGCAACTCCCCTCCGGCGTCGTCGTCGTCGGCTTCATCGCCCGACGCAACTCCGACGTTTCTCAGCTCATCAATCGAATCCTCGACTCCAATGTCTTCGGCTCCGGTCGCTGCGATACTCCCCTTAGCATCGCTTCAGATGACAATGAGGAGGTTACTGAAGAGGTTAAGCTTTGGTTTAGTAATCGTAGGATTAGTTATTACCATGATAAGCAGAAGAATTTGCTGTTTCTTCAAATGTGTTCGATCAAATGTCCTGCTATGTGTTCCGGTTCCGGTTTCGATTCCATCGTTGAAGAACAAGAGTTTGGGGATATTCAAGGAATGCTCTTCATGTTCACTGTAAGCTCTTTTATTTTCCTTTTCAATTTACTTAATTTTACAATGAGCTTTTTGATATTGTTGAGACATAATGTTATTTGCAATCTATTGTGATTAAAATTGCTGACTACAGAATTGAAGGGGTAGATTATATGAATGAAGATATGAACAATCTTCTATGTATAAAACTATGCATTGCAATTGATCAATGATAAGGGGTCTACATTTTTCAATAAATAGATAAGTGAACCTTGCTCGGACTTTGGAACTCTTGTACGACATGGGTATGTGTCTAAGTGTCTTAATGTAGCTATTCTGTGACATAATGATTTTGATCATAGAATGAAATGAAGGGTCGAAGTGTCTAACACGGGTAAATTACATTAACCGAAGAGTCCAAGTAACATAGTGAGCTCTTTTTTAAGTACTATCATAGATTCATAGGTGGTTGAATAATTGATTTGTAGTTTTACTTCATTAGTTTATGAGAGGAGAAAGGTGGGTGTAGTGTTTCAAGAACAAGGTTTTGTAGAGTACTTGGAGCGACTATGGCTAACTACTTTTGCTATCTAGGTCGGGGTAGGCCTTAAAAAATTGGAATGCAGGCTAACTCTGATCTAGTATTTATGTTTTGAAATGTAATTATTGAGATTCAGTTTACTACATAGTGTGGTCATGTTCTTTCTAACATGTTTCCTTGTCAAAAGAATAAAATGAAAGCTTTTAGTGAAGCAATTGTGGTTTGACTCCTCCTTTTAAGCACCTTAAAATTCTATTCTTCATCTTCTGTATTTGGTAAGTTTTGAATGGTTTCTGTAAATTACTGCCCTTTTTTTTTCCTCCTTTGGTAAATGGTCTATCGATGTTAAGGAAAAATTTGGAACTCCCATGTTACTGCAGGTGTGCCATGTAATTGTTTACATCCAAGAGGGATCACGATTTGACACTCATCTTTTGAAAAATTTACGAGTGCTGCAGTCTGCAAAACATGCTTTGATGCCTTTTTTAAAATCACATAGTATATTGCCCTCAATTACTAGGCCTTCATCATCATCTTCTCGTCCTCCTACCCCAGCAACATCCTCTAAAAGTCCTTCCCCACGAAGAGGTACTGGCATCTCAAATCGAAACAGTTCTATATCTGTCATGTCAACTTTAGGTTCATATACTGCACTATTTCCTGGGCAGTGTACTCCTGTTACGCTCTTTGCTTTTGTTGATGATTTCTCAGAAATGGTGAATTCCAGTGCTGCGGCTGAGGAGTCAAATGAATCTTCCTCTAACCAGTCAGGTTTGAGTAGCTTGGCTAGATCAGATTTGCCAGGGAAGGGTTCTAGTTCAGTTGTTGTGCTCTCTCGCCCAATAAATAAAACTGAAGGTAGTTTACTTAAGAAATTGCAATCCTCCACTGAAACTCAAATTCGATTTTTGATAAAAAAATGCCGGACTCTTACGGGGTCTGAAAGTAGTAGTCATGTAGGGTCCAGAAGTGGTTCAATAACTGGTTTAGCTCCATTATTAACCCTTGATGCATCAAGAGCTGTTGTGCTTTTAGACAGCTCTGGAATCTTGAGGGGCGAGTCTCTTGAATTCGCCACAGGCCTTGTAGAAGATATTCTGAGTGGAAAGGCAACTCCTGATGTTTTGTTGCTTGAAAGTCACAGTGAGAGTGGAAATAAGGATGACATCATGACTTTAAAGGAGTTTATTATTAGGCAGGCTGACATATTAAGAGGAAAAGGGGGGATGGTTACAAATGCAAACAGTGGTTCAGCAGCAGGTGTTGGTATGGTTGCTGTTGCAGCTGCAGCAGCAGCTGCAGCATCTGCTTCTTCTGGAAGAGCAACTAGTGTTCCCGAGCTTCCCAGTTTAGAAATGTGGTTGTCTTCCAGCCAACTAATTTTAAAGGGAATTTTGTCTGCAAAACCCGGTTCTGTTGATGAAACTGATATAAATAGAAGGAAACTCCGGCAACGTAATGGTGTCCCTCCTCTTGTTGAAGGGATCGCTTCTAAAGGTGCTGATCCACCTAGCACTGCACTTTCTCTATTGGAGAGTGGGAAGGGGATCAATAGAAAATTTTCGGCTTTATGGTGCCAAAAAGCCCTACCAGCTGCTATGGAAGTCTATTTAAAAGACTTGCCTCCCTGTTACCCAACATCACAGCATGAAACTCAATTAAAAAAGGCTCTATATGCTTTTCACTCAATGGTAAAGGGTCCTTCTGTGAAGGAATTTAAAAAAAAATTGGAGGATGGATGTGTGTCAATCTGGAAGTCTGGAAGGCAACTATGTGATGCTATTAGTTTAACTGGAAAACCGTGCATGCACCAGAGACACGAAGTCAAAGATGATGGACTATCTTCAGATGCCACAAGCAAGGAACATAAGAGTGGATATGTATTTCTTCATGCTTGTGCTTGTGGCCGTTCTCGACAATTAAGAGCCGACCCTTTTGATTTTGAATCTGCTAATATCAAATTTAATATATTTTCTGAGTGTGACAAGCTTCTTCCTATGCTGCAACTGCCAAAATTGAGTGACAAATGGCCTATTCAGCCTTCATCATGGACTGTGGTTCGGCTTGGAGGGGCACAGTACTATGATTCTTCAAAAGGTTTGCTTCAAGCTGGATTTCCGCATGATCAAAAGTTCCTTTTGAAATGGACTATTGTTCTTCAGAATGAGAAGCACTCAAATGTTTCCTTTGCTAATGCTCTGAGGCAAGGGTCCTTCCGCAGTAAGCCAGACATTAAACTTGAATCAACTGCAGTCAAGGATGCCAAGAAGAGCACAACATTGCCGGTGGAGCCAGGTGAAGAACTGAATGGAATGGAAGGCCACGGAAAAGTTATGAACGATTCAATACCTGACCGTAGAAAGATCAGTTTTGGTAGAGGTCTTCCAATTACCACAATGAAGAAAGCTTTTTCTGAGGTTGTTGCTGGATCAACAACTTCTAATTCTGCATTTCCTCCTTTACAGCCAAAGGCACAGCTGGCATCTGGTCCAGGAAAAGGTGTTAAAAAAATTGCTGTAAGAGTCGCAAGCACAGAGCAAAGTCACCTTTCTACTACTGATGCTCAAAGATCTGAAAAATCTGAAGAGGTCTCTACTGCAGGAGCAGAGAACAAATCTGGGTTGAACAATGTTGGTCATGTTGATAGTAATCCTTTCTTGCATATAGGTAGCAATGTAATTCCGTTAAATGTTGATGATGGTAAAAATGCTTCTGAGAATAATAATGCTAATGGGGGAAAGACTATGTTTGATCCTTCTGTTAGGCATTTTGTAGTTTATGTTGGTTTTGAGCATGAATGCCCGCGTGGCCACCGCTTTATATTATCTTCAGAAATTTTGAATCAACTTGGGCAGCCATACTCGTTGCCTGAAGGATCTCAGGTTACTCGTCCTGTGGAACATGTTAATCGTAAGAATAGGGGTCCCTTGAAATTGGGGAAGAGTGATCTTCATGGTAAAGTGCATCGGTTGCCAAGCGGTAATGCTACAACACACAAAGTTAGCAATTTGGATAAAGCAAATGAAGCTGTGGTTGACAGCAATCTTGCTGTGAATGGAATATCATTGTCTAAACCAGTGGAACATACACTTTTTGATTCATCAATTCCACCTAATTCTGTCACAGATCAACAGAGTCACCATTCTCTAAATGTGGAGAATATTGGGCCTGCATTTTCATTGCTAAACAGAAATTTACCACTATACCTAAATTGCCCGCATTGCAGGGCATCAAAGAATAAGAAGGATGGGCAAAATTTGAAGTTTGCAGGCACAATATCTCAGTTACAAAGGATTTTTGTGGTATGAAAATCTTGTGCATCAGTCTCCTTAATGTTTATGTAGTTATATCAACCTTATTTTTTTACTGATGAAACTTATTTATTTTCTGTGGTATCACTTGGTAGATTGACAGTTGTTAACATCTTGAACTCTTCATCTTTGTGCTTCTCTCTTCTTTTTTCACAAATTTTACCATGTTGTTATCTGCTATTGGATATCCATTCAGGGATTTCTAAGGAGGCATGTAAATTGCCTTATTTTTAATAATCTTATAGAAAAAAAATTTCCGAACTGAATTAAACCTTTTACTTAACTATTCCCTTTTTCCCGTATAAACTTCCCCTCTATACCCTTCATTCTCTCTTAATTACCACACTTGCAATTTTTGGTCTATTTATACTAGTTGCAACATATCCATTTTGGTTTGTGGACTCATTACCTCTCTCCTCACGAAATGGGGCCCTTTTCTTTATTTCTCTCTTTTCTTCCCCCGTATTGCTATCTTTTCTTCACCTTATTTTAGGCTTTCTCGTTTGAATTCTTTAGTTTTTCGCCTAGTAAGAATAAGGTGAAGAGAACAAAACCTATGTTAAATCCAATTGGATTTTTTTTTGGTATTCCTAGGTAATTCTGCTACTTTGGGAAATTTATGCCTACTCATTTGAGTTGGCTTCCTTTTTCTCCATCATGTCAACTCTTTTCATCTCACAATTTCTACCCTCTCCTACTCCTCTCTACCTATGACTCTTATTTCTATGTAAGTTTGGAAAAGATGAGTGGGTTTAGTAAAAAGGTTAATAAAGTTAAAGAGATAAGGTAAAAAGGTGGATTTGTGTAAGAAAAAGGTGGATAAAGTAAGAAAGAGTGTAAAGGTGTAAATAATGTGGGGTAAAAGGGGTTTGCCATAATGCAATAATACTTAGGCTGTATTAGACTAATCTGAGTGCTATGCATCTTAGAAATATAAACTTTAAGGAATAACAGCTAACCCGTAGCCATGTCAAAAGTTTTTACACAAGTATACAAGCATACTTGCCTGTGAAGCTTTACTCTATCGAGCCTTGAATAAACGTCTGATAAGAACTAATTGTAGGCTGTGAGCTAGGGGGAAAAAATAATATATTATAAAATGCCCAAGAAGTAAGAAGTTCATTTCAAAGATAATACTTCCGTTGTTTTTCTTTTATTGCACCATAAGAACTTTACACTATTCACTTAATCTTCTTTGACTATCATTTGTGATTTATCCATTAGGAAGAACATAGTCATGTGGGATCTAGTTAGATTCGTCACGAAATCTACTTTTCAAGTGTCAATTTTTTATAAGTTTTACAAAAGTGTAATAGTTGATATTAGTAGCTACAGTAATGCAATGACAAGTGTGAAATCCCTCATAATGCAATAAAAAAAGAACAAAGGAAGTATGTAATATCATGAATATATATAAATCTATTCTAAGTGCCAAAATGACCTCGTCTAAATGTAATAGTTTGAACAGCTTCATGGATTCCTGAAAATGAATCTCACTCCACTTCGTCTTTACATTTAATTAACCTGACATTAGTATGCTTGTTAGATCAAATGCATTTGAAATTGTCAAATTAATACTTGACTGTGCTTGATTGCTCTCCTGAACTATTGAATTCTTCAAATTGTCTTTTGTACATCAACTGGAAGATTGAATTAAGCTAATTGAACACAAAAATCAATGTTTGTGTCTTGTTTGTTTTTTCTTGATATGCTACATTTCTCTCTTCTGCAGACTGCAGCCAATTGCCCAATTACCCTTTACAAGTTGACACTTAGCTTCTAGCCATCTTATAACCTTCTTGTTGGACTTGATGTCACCTGTGTACTATATATTGTTATGAGTTACCTTTTAATTGTCAGGGTTTTTTTTTTTTTTTTTTAAATTTTTTTTTCTAATCTAATATATATAAATAAAGTAGGCATTTTTGGAGAGCATTGGGAGCGCCACATATGAAAAGGTGTATTTTCGACCAATTAAAAATTAGATTTCTATTTTATTTTAGAATTAAAAAAATCACTCGCCACCTAAACAAAAGTGACGAATGAAATTTTAAATTTTTGCCACGTGAGAAAAACGACAAATAGTAATTTATTAGGATTTTATTTATTTAAGAACACTAAATTTTATCATTTTTATTTGTTACAAAACTAAAAATTATCTTTAGATATTAGGATTTATATTATTTAAAAAACTAAAAATTATATTTTGATATTTAAAAAATTTAAATTATCATTTGATGTTAATGGTTTTATGTAAATATATGATGATATGATACTTTCATACAAAATTTTAAAACTTATAATGCAAGAAAAAAATTAAGAGATCACCAAAAAAATATTTATATACAAAATGTATATAAAAATTCGTGCATCGCACGCCACATAAGCAAAAGTAATATTTCGACCAATGAAAAATTAGAATTATATATTAATTTAGAATTTTAATTTTCAGTAGCTATTTAAGAAAAAATTAACAAATGAAATTTGAGAATTGAAAACAAAAAATAGTAATTTAAGATTTAAATTAGAAAAAAAACAAAAATTATCTTTTATATTATCTTTTACATTAGGATTTATATTATTTTAACAAATAATTAGAAATTAAAAAATATATTTTGTTTTAACGATTTTATCTAACTATCCGATGAATGAGATAATATTTATTTCATTTTATAAATTCAAGTTCTATATATATAAAATTTAAAACTTAACAAAATATTTTACAAAAAAATATTAAGAAATTACAAAAAAAAAAAAAATACAAAATGATATATTTAAAAACCGTGCATCGCACGGGCTTACATCTAGTTAAAATTAAAATGGGAATGCTCAAGAAAGGCTAAGTTATGGTAACATTATGTAAACCTCCTCAATATCTTACATAGGAGAACTATAGAATGGATTGACTTACTTCTGAAGATTTCAAATTGCATCCCTGGATATTTTGAGATTCTGCTTAGAAGTCTTTTCTAGTAGTTTACCATAAGATTCTGTGAATAATATATATGTAACTCCATTTCTTTTTTGTATTCTTTTTCTCCTCATAACTTACTTTGTATCCTATGTATTAATACACCAACACTATGACAGTCATCACAGAATGACTTAAATTGCATTACATGATCCCCTTTTTGATGCCAGTTAAATGTGCTTACTGTTTTTCTCCTAATACTGAGTCAAAGTGGTCTATTGCAAGTTTATGAGGCCATCATTAGCAGTTTAGATAATTATCTGTTTCTTGGCTGCAGGTTACACCTCCTTTTCCTGTTGTATTAGCAACCAACCCTGTTGTACAGTTTGAGGTATTCACTGACCACTTTTCTTTGTTCACTTTGTTGCATATATATTTGTTATAATGAGTTTGTAATTGGTAGTTTGGCAAGTTCGTGCTTGAGCCTTGACCACAGGATTGATAATTGATATTTTATCTTTTTGTTGACTGTCCATTATCTCTATGAATTTAATACCTGTTGTTTTCCTTGCATCTGTGCAGGAGCCCCATCAACTGGAAGGTGTTTCAAGTCACGAACAGCAGCTACAATTCAGCCTTGGATGTCAAGTTATATTGCCTCCAGAGAGTTTTGTCTCGATCAGACTCCCCTTTGTCTATGGCTTGGAGGTCAAAGATAAGGGATTAATTCCTCTTAATCCATTTGAACACCAACCTGAGTTGACTGCCCGAATCATGCAAGGCACAGCACTGCAGGCCATTTGGAAAGGAGGAAGTCCTGACTAGTAGCTTTGCAAATACATTTGATTATCTTGGGAAAAGCCATTGACCTGACTAAATCAGGATTCAGGAGCACACAAGGCTGAAGCTGTCACCAAACTCGTGTCTGTCCTACCAAGGTAATGCTGCCAATCTGTATTTTTCTATCTTGTTTATAGTTCAGTTATTGATGTACTTTTATAGTCAAAATTCTTACTGTGTAGTTATATATTGAAAAGAAATTATTCTGTATTGGAAAATACAATAATTATGTTGCTTGCTGGTAAGTAATGATCTGTGTGGGATTTTGAAACATGATGCAATGGTCAAGATGTTGAATTATTAAAGAAGTCGAGATTGTTTTAGTTTTGTTAGCTATGCTATAGATTGTTGTAGTATCATGAAGATTTATTAAGCTCCTCTTTTAAGGACGTGGAATTCTGCCTCTCTTCAACATATTGAGCAATATATTATGGAGTAAGAAAGTTGTGATTAGTGACAGTCACCCCAACTACTACCCCAATGAATTGAACCATGTCAACGGCTGAAGTTCCATTATTACTCACATTACATCAAAATAATATGGAGTATAAAAATAGTTTTTTTCAAATTAAATTTTTAATTTCTACAATTGCCCTGAATGTAATGTCTCTGTAAATTCTTCTCTATTTTTGCTCAAAATACTAGCTTAGTCAATTATCTTTTGAAGCAAGGTCCTGACAAAATCATCTTCAGGCTAATAAAGCAAGCTGCATTGATCTTACCACCCCTATATTGTGGGGTGGAGGCTAATTAGAGTTTTGGAGGTAGTAGTATGGTGGCTTTATGTCAGTTTTACTCTTTCCTTTATGGGTAGTTGACACTTAGTCTGCTGGCTCTTCTATCATTGTTACTTAAAACTTCTCTTCTTATAATCAGTCAAAACAACTTTATTGCCACTGTGAAATAGTCCAAGGTACTGAGCCTTTAAAAGTCCATAACAGGATGGCTCTGCTATCATTGTTACAAGTCTCTAACTGCAAACTTCATCTTGCCAATGTGTAACTTCAACTGTTAATATCTTTGATTATTACAAGCAAAACTTATACATCATGACGAATCTAACAATATCACTAATTATTTTTAAATAAATCACCAAAGGTAGTTAATATAAAAAATATGAAGTACAAAAAAAAAAAACAAAACTCCTTCCGTATTGTTTAGTTGCGACACTTTGACTAGCATGGAGTTGTTATGCGGTTGATTTAAATTTGTTATAATATTACTCCCTCCATCCCCGATTGATAGTCACTTATGCCATTTTTGGGCACCCAAAATGTTAGTTACATTTGCTTTTTTCAAGTACCATTAATATTATTTTTTTTTATCAAAATTCCCTAACATTTGCAAAAATATTTGTGCAAATTTAACTTTCCAATGTAAATTTTACTTTCCCATGTACTTTAATTACTTTCTCTCTCTACTTTTTTGCATACCCAATGTAAATTTACTTTTTCAATGTATTTTCTTTAATTCTCCTTAATTTCCATGATTTTTCTTCAAAAGTGACTATCAATCGGGGACGGAGGGAGTATGTAATTGGGGTTTGTTTGGGAATTAATAAATAATTAAAAAAAAAGAAGTGATAGTGAGCGAATAGTTTATGTAAAAGTAAGGGATGTGAGAGAAGGGGAATGTTAAATGTTAACAAAGTGTGAGTGGGGTATGAATGAGGACCATTTGAGGAGGATTTAAAAAAAAAAAAAAAAAGAAGTGATAGTGAGTGAATAGTTAATGTAAAAGTAAGGGATGTGAGAGAAGGGAAATGTTAAGTGTTAACAAAGTGTGGGTGGGGTATAAATGAGGACCATTTGAGGAGAGATAGAATAAAGTAGTGAATAGTATTTTCAATTATGAAAGTATTGCAATAGAAAAACGGCCGTTTATAGGAAGTGTTGCAATTAAAAAAAAAAAAAAAACGGAGGGAGTAGAAATGTTGCAGCAAAGAAGAAAAAAGATATATATTTAACTTAGCAAATATTTCTATGTATGTTCATTAAACTTAGTTCATTTTGAGAGAGATCTTGGAGAATTTTAGAGTAAGAAAATTTAGGATTAACTCTTTATAATCTTTATTATTGATTGATATTCTCTCTGTGTTTTAATAAGTGTTACAGTTTGGCCAAACACGCATGGCAAGACACGACTTTGTCCATTAATCTATCTTATTATATATTAGTAAAATTATCGAAAATTTGATACTATGAAAGTATACATTATAACGAATCCAACAATGTATTTACAATAACATTTGTTTTTTATATATTGGCAAATTATTCAAATCAAAGTCAATATGTGAACAGTGAAAAAAGTTAAACCGTAACACTTATTAAAACACAGAGGAGTATCAGGTTTCTTACAACAATGTAGCATAATAATGGGTAATAACTTATTTGTTATGCAGAAACAGAAAAACTGGGAAATAATGAACTTTGTTATGTCAGAATATTGTACAAATATCTATTGATGCTGAACTGGACTTAATGATGAATATTTAACCAGTCATTATGCTCCATAGATTGAGTTGACTAACTAGTTCGGATATTTACTTATAATTTTTTATATAGTTACTCTAAGTTTGTTTGTTTGTTTTTATTTATTTTCTTTTTTTTTAACAGGTTTTCTATATTTAAAATTTTAACTAAATTTACCTTAACAAATTATTATAGTTGAGACATGTTCATATAGAGAATCTCTATTGTTGTAGGCCTTGTAGTTTGCTGATAGATTATGAATTTAAATTTAATTTAGAATCCCTATTTTCAGTAGGAAATGAACATTTCATTTTATAGATTAATAAATGAAGATTCAAGGGAATATAAAATATTTTCTAATCTTAATATATAAATAAAACTTATTTAGTTTGGTGATTTTCTATTTGCAACAATAAATTTCAGTTGAATTGATTAAGAAACATAAAGGGTAATAAATCGCTAATTTCTGTGATGTTATTTTTAATCTTTTCCTATTTCTTTATATAGCAATGAAAAAATATTTTATTTATTTAAAGTTGTACGTTATTGTTCTATATTTTAGGGTTTTTTAGGTTGTAGATTTTTTTTAAAAAAAAAATTACCTTATTATATTTTAAGGGCAAAAAAAAAGTTTTGATGTGAAAATTTTATTTGTGGACTCGACACGTGTACTTATGGGATATTTCTTTAGTATAGACTGTAGATAGAGTATTGATAGAGGAGCAATTAATCTTGCTAACATAGCCTGTTGCATAGTTGCTGGGTTTGCTGCTATTGAGCTTCTTCATTGCAGCTGCTGTAGCTTGTAGGACTAACTCCATTACTTGCGTTGGCAGAATTTAAGACAGGGCATTTACATTTCAAATTTTTTAATGGATTAATTAATCTAATTGGCTGGTTTCCTATCTTAATATTTCAGGGCACATTCAAGCTTGTTTGAGTTTCTTGGTTTTTAAGAGGCAATTGAAGACCATAGGTTGTTGGTAAAACAGTTACTTGATTGATTACATCACAAGTCTCCTCATTTTGGCGGTGTTTAGTTGGTTGGTACTTAAATACTTGTGGCCTAATGTGTTGGAACCTCAGGTATGCAATCAAGAATGTTTCTCCATATTTACTTCCTCTGTTTCACTAAAATTACAATGCGTTGACTTATGCACTATTCACATGCTCTGTTGTGACTAACTTCTACTTCCTCATTTATTTTACTTGCACATTTCTCATTTCATGTTTGCCAATACATTATTTCGCTCATTAATATATTAAATTACAAGAATGTGATATTATGAATGTATAAATTGAGACAAATCTAACAAGATCCCATATGAGTCAATATGACTGCATTTATACTTAAATTTAAATTATTAGTTAAAGTGGAGTACATGAATAGTGCGCAAATGTATTGCAAGTAAAAAAAATAATAAACGGATGACTTACTTTGTCCATTCTCTTTTAATTGCAACGTTTGAAATTTTACACTATTCAATCGCCTTTAGTGATTGATGCGTTGAAGAAATATAGTCTGATACTCTAGTGGGATCTTGTTAGATTCTTTTCAAAGTTTTCTTTTAAATGGTATAGAGTGTGCATTGGCAAGCTTAAAATTCCCCAACGTTGTGGTTAAAAAAGATCGGAGGAAGTATGATTTATGGTAAGGAAAAATATAGTCATGTTGGATCTTATTAGATACATCACAATTTTCAAAATTTCAAAAGATATCATTGATTGACATAATGCATTGATAAACATAAAATGAGGAGTGTTGCAATTTTAGTGAAACGGAGGAAGTATTTATTTGTTTTATTATTATTATTATGAAAAGAAGAGGGCGGAGTCTTTTAGATTTTGAGAAAAAAAGTAAGTTAAATTTTAAAGTTTTGAGCAACAATTTAATCTGCAATTAAATTATACAGGAATGACCACCCAAAACCACTTCTAATAATCTAATAAAGGGATAGCCTAGGTCACCAACTGCTTTCCACATTGACCCTTACAAGCAAATCCCTCTTTCTTGCTTCACCCAAGTCAGTCATGCTGTTCCCCTTCATGTTCTGTTTTTCTCTCTATCAGTGCAACTGCTTTCTCCAATTCTCTTCCTCCTTTCTTCTTTTCATAAAGCTGATTTTACCCCAAATCTAAAAAGCTGAGCTACCCATAACAGGGTAGCAATATAGGATTAGTGGCAAGTGGAAAACAATGGGCTGACTATTGGCACTGTGGGAAGAAGACAGATGGAATTTAGCTCATTTAGGGGCAAATGGAGGGCGGTACGCGGAGTCTTTGAGATGAATTAGAAGATGAGGGTTAGAGGCCAAGAGGTGGAGGTGCAGAGTGTTTGCATGCTCTGTGTTGTTCCCCCGTTTTTAGAGGTAAGGGGAATCTTCTCTCTAGGATAGGATATGTGTATTTTAGATTAAGGACAGGTTTAAATAGGTAAGATTTTTCAACCAAACTACTGCTTTATGGTTTGTATTTGTCAACGCATTCATCTTATAGCCCTGAACCTATCTGTACCCCTGTCAGATTGACTTAAATAAACAACTTGGAGTTTCCCTCTCCCATCTATTTTTCCCCTCCCTTTCCACCTACTACGTAAAATCTATATTTCTAAATCCATGTCTCAAACTCACATGGGATATCAATTCGAGCTTCTTTTCCAGCCTCATCAATATCTTTCTTATTTCTCTTCTTGCTTTGACCCCCTTGCCCTGTTGTTTTTCATTTCTATTTTCTCTGTTTTAAATGTGGTTTATGAAAATGTTAGATGATTGAGATGGACCGTCAATACAAAGCTGTGTGTTGCAACCCTAAATTGTGTCCACTTTGCCCTTGCTTAATCTGGAGGGCATGTCAATAGACGGATCTGCTAGATGATTTGGATAAAGTGGGTTTTGCAGTCAATAATATCTTTTGGGCAACTTGCCATTATCAATTACGTAGCATTTAAAAAATTTGATAGGCTTAGATAAGCATGTATACTGGTAAAATTTCTTGCTTTAATGTCAATTTGGGGAATCTTTTTAGCTTTAATTGGACTGGAAATGTTCTGCTCGATTAAAGAGAAAATATATTTGAGAGTTGTGTTTGTTACCACCAAGCTCAGTAGGGAGGGAGGACTAAAGAAGAACCATTTGTGAGCTTTCAGTTAGAAATTCCCAAATTTCATTTTCAATATTTTCATAGTGGGTTGTGAAAGATGATGTTGAGATTTCGGAGAGGATTGCAATATAATACTTTTTTTTAATGCACCATTTTCCTTTTTAGGAAATTGCATATTAATTGCACCATTTCTTTTTTGGGGTATGCTTTCATACACTTTTTGTTTGTGTTCATACACCAAATACCCAAGCCTATCCCGACTCACATTTAATATTTACCCTTGTTACCTCACTTTTACTCTCTTTCCTTTGTAGTCACATGTGCATTTTTGTTATTTAATTCCTTTCTTAATCTTTTTGCCCAACCCAAATGGTGTAAATAAAAAAAACGGAGGAAGTATGTCATAAAGGAGACTGTGTAGCTATTATTTGAGACTATGAATTGTGTATTGTAAGTTGTGCCTCATTATAGGTTTTGCTCAGTGAACCGAGTGGTCGGCCAATGCTTCATACAGTCTGTATGTTCAGTCACAATTCATTTGTGTGCAAGAAGGGTCTTTTTTAGTTGACATGAGACGTGGGAAGACAAAAGGTATTTGTTGTTGTAAGTTATATTTTTGGGGATGAAAGGTATTTGTTGTTGTAAGTTATATTTTTGGGGATGAAAGGAGAGTCTAAATGAGGGTATAAATAAGCAAGTGCTGAAGGGAGCAAAAACGGGTAAGAAAAAGCTGTTCAACTCTTGATTTGGTGGCCTCATTCAAAATTCTGTCGTGTATAAATTCCATGTGGAAGGTGTAAGGGGCATAAGGCTCAGTGCTAGGCAGGTTTTGTTCTATTTTGTGGTTACTTTGGTTTAATACCTAAAGAAAGACTTTTTTTTTATGGTCACAACTTATTTTATTGGGTTTTTTAATTGGTCGAGCAGTGTGTAGTTTTTCTCTAGGCTTACACAGTCAGCCTATCATGTCCCATTTTCCGTTTTGGTTTATTTGAGGTTGGAGGTTGAGGTTTAAATTTATCCCTTAATATTGGAGGGACTTAAGGCCCCCCTTAGTGTAATTCTTCAGCTTTTCAATGGTGCTTGATTTTTTAGTTAAAAAAATGTTATGTAAATCAAGATGCTAACTTATCATTCACCAGGCCTCACAAAACTGACTAGTACTCATTTACCCAATCAAAATCCAAATAACTCGCAATTAGATAGCTTAATTCTGGCTTAAAACTGAAATTTAACTTAGCTGAACCCAACCATAATACATGACTATTAATTAATAATGATTGAATGTATGTAAAAAGATAATTTTCATAAGCCAATCTTATCCTTGACCACCATTGGCACAACTTCCATGACCTTTTAGTTTACTTTTTACTACCTTCGCTTCGGATTACTCGCAACAGTTTCCTTAAATGGCTACTCTACATTACTCGCAACAAATTATTTTCTTTCCTTTTTTAGTGAGTTTTTGTCTACAAAATGACAATTTTACCCTTACTTTTTTTCTAAACATCCTAATTAAATTATAAATCTATTCCTATTACATTAATCCCTAAGGTTAATTAATTTTACTTTACCACCACATCCATCCTAATTCATTCCCCTCCTCATCTACATTCTACATCTTCCTCCATAGTTTTCTCTCTCTTCCTTCATAATCTACCACCTTCAATGGCAACCACCACCATCACCACCGCCACTACCACCGACCACCACCACCATCACCTTTAAAGGAAACCACCACCTACATCGCCGTCTCGTATTCTCTCTCTTCCTTTGTTTTTTGTTTCCTCATAGGCGATGAAACCCAAATTCGAAGGTTTTATTGTTAAATTTAACCATCAAAACTCTAGATCTAGAGTTTTGAAGAGTTTTCATGGTTAAATTTAACCAATTCAACCTTTAATTGATGATAGAGAAAGATTGTGGGTTTAATTTCGGTTTCAAATTGTGGGTTTGATTTTGATTGTGGGTTTGATTTCTGTTTGTGGGTTTGATATCGGATTTGGGTTCGATTGCTAGTTCTTGGTTTTAGTGGGGTTCTGGGCATCGTGGGTTGGATTAATTTTTGGTTTCGGTTGCTGCGGGTACGGTGGTTTTGGGGTATTGATTGGAGGGTTCGTGGGTGGTGTTGGATGCGTCGGTGTTGGGTGGTAGTGGTGTTGGGTGGTAGTGCTGGGTACGTGGTTGTGTTGGGTAGTGGTGCAGGGTTCGGTGCTGGGTGGTCGGTGCTATGGAGGGTTCGTGGGTGGTGGTGGGTGGTTTCGGTAATGCTGGGTGGTGGTGGTAGTTGGCTTTGGTTGCTGCTGGGTGGTGTGGGACTGGACTGTGGGTGGTGGGTATTTACTTTAATTAAGGTTGCATTTGTTTTTCCTTTTTTTTTTTGGGTTGGATTAATAGTTAAACATATACCCTTATTTTTCCATAATCATGCTTACAATCTTTTGCCTCGGCCTCCGCAAACATGTCCTTTGTTGCGAGTAACATGAAGCGGAGGTAGTATTTTGTTGAACGCATATTTTGTTAATATTTAGAGTATATCCAGATAATAGTTCCAAACATGTCCAAAACTTATTATTGTGTATTAAAATCGAAACAGAATCAATTATCCCATCACCTGAAAAGAACTTGGACCAAATCAACCCAAACTGAAAGACCTATTTCCTGCCTCCATTCCTGACACCATATTAACTATGAATTATGTTTATTAATTATGCAGGGGCTAGCATTTGCTTGCATATTGCTGAAGTAGGAGAAAATTGGGATACTGGTTATTGTTTAGAAGTATCTGATCAGTTTGATGGTTGGAGGATTGCAGTAGTTAATACAGCGATCCACCTAGACTACGCGAAGCGCTCTGATATCGAGATGCCTACTCTACCAACTTGCAAGTGAAGCGGAGCAGGGAGTATAGCTTTAAGGTTTCGTCTGGATATTGGCCCTCATCTACAACAAATCTGATCACCCTGTAACATATTACAGAGAACACTTAATAAAAATGCTAATACTGCTTGGGGTATCACCGTATCATAATGTGCACCACTCTGTTTATATTGTCTGCAGAACCCACAGCAAAATTCCTGTAAGTAACTGTATTCCATGCCGCTATTCTGTTTTTCTAATGAGGAGCAACTTTAGTAAGGCATAACTATTTTTTTTTTGTCTGCATTTTGTTCATATTATTCTATTATGCAACCCGCTCCATCTGTGTACTCTTTCCATTTTTGCACACCTATACAATAATAGTTGCAAAATTGGAGCTGCCATCTTGAATTCCTCACCTGTCAGAGTCGTCTGGTCGAGACCATCTAGATGGAAATTAAAAATGTAAATTTACAAGGTAGGATTAGAAATCTAAAAGATAATTTTGTTAATCATGAAGGTGAAAGCTTTCTTGTAAATGTGCATTGGTTTCCTCTGTACAAACTTAGGAAGGCGGTTTGGGAAATGATTCTAGTCAACCAGAGGTGGATACGCTAGAGGATTGAGATACTTCCTCCGTTCTTTATTACTTGACCTTTTGACTTTTACACTATTCATCACCCCTCCTTTGACAGTCTTTTGTGAATAATATGTAAGGAAAAACATATTCATATATGATCTTTTTGGATTCGTCTCAATAAGTACTATCATAATATATAACTTTTATAATATTTACTTATGGAGAATTTAAGTTATTGATCATTAAAGTTTTGCATTGGTAAACGTGATAAAAGAAACAGGTCAAGTAAAAATGAACAGAGGAAGTAGATATGAGAAGGTGCTGTGAGTCAAGAGTAAACATGCATAGAGTTGTTTTCTAATCGTGTTTTAAAATCCTTACCAAATTTGACGATTTGGGCAACCAACGAAATGAATTGTGAACATAATTGTTCTTGAATACGAAGCTTTGTCAAATTTGTACAGAGAAGACTTTTATTAGAATGTGGAAGTGGCTCTCATCCAAAAAATGGTGTTCGAGGATCATCAAATGATACTGGTTTTTGGAATTAGTTGAATTTTGGATAATGAAGAGGAGCTTCTTTGTCTACTCCCTCCTTTTTAAAGTACTTGCAACAGTTTATATTCATTCATTTAACTTTGGCGAGCTTGTAGAGTCGAGTTCAGATATCTGTACAAGCTTGGTTTGTGTAGGAGATTATTGTGTTGGTGAACAATTATTTTATTATTGAGTTGAGTTCATCAATGAGACTTTATAAACGAGAATTGCACTTTTACTTTGAAAATTAAGAATAATAATGAATGACATTTATAAATTTGTTTGACTAGTTTGTTCATGAACTTAATTAAATGAGTTGTGTAGCTACGAACCTATACGAACGAGTTTATATGATTTTATGTTCATGCTCATCTATTAAAACTTTAAAAATTACTCAAAAACATCGGCTCTTTTATTAAATAATAAAAAAGCTTTACCTAACTAACTGCTTTAGTAAGACTAATGTGTTGCGAGTCGTCTAACACCAATAAGGGGTGTCGAATAGGTCATTGGGCAAGAAGGCAACTTCATGGCCTAGGGGTTTTCATGGAATCCATGGATGGTTGGCAGCCCTCTTCCCTAAATGAGCTTTAGTTTAATTTGTGCATTTCTAGTGAACCACCATACGACAATTTCATAATGATGGGCCATTTAAAGGGTCAAATGGGCTTCAAATGTGCTCAAAATTGAGATCTAGCATATTTTGGGCTCAGGAACGTTAGGGTGGCGTCGTTGATCCAAGATGAGATGAGATCCCGAAATAAGGTTTGTGTACAACTTGAAGGTTAGTGTTGTTGGAAGGTTCTAGAATACTATGGAAGGCACTAAAAAGCTCTTGTAGAGTTGTAGCATGAAGATGTCTAGAACCCTCATGTGCATACTAAGCATAGAAGACTATGTAGTAAATTATTGGGATCAGGCTGAAAGGTTTTAACTAGAACCAACCTTAGGGGCTAGCTAGAATAAATGCTTATAAATAGAGATTCATTTATACAACCAACACAACCAAACTCGTTTTACATTTTAAACTGAACAATCTTACCAATTTTGAAAACCTTCTTTCCATACTTGCTACTTAGCAATTTCATTGCACACTTAGTCTTGCATACATTATACTGAGAGGTGAGAGCCTTTACTAGATGTCTAACAGACTAATAATCCATGTGCAAAGGGTTAAGGGAACAGTCGTCACGTGATATTTGTCTCATTTCTTCCCTTTCTCGAGGGTTGACATGCTAAGCTGGATTGAATTGAATGACTGTGTGAAAGGTTATTGTACAGTATAGTACTCTAGTAGGATTGTCATTAGTCATATTAAATATTTTATATGGCATGAACAATTCATCTACGCGAGTTTATTGTATAACATGGAACTAACTACCACATATTCCTTTCCTAAATCATCCAAGAAAATTTTGATTTATTAAATCAATCTCCTTACTCTTACAAAAATACTATATATACTTTTTTTTAAATACAACGATTTGACGAGTTTGAAACATTTTATTTGAATTTGTTAATAGTGGTGAATTATTTATTTGAAAAATATTGACAACAAATGAGAATTATATATTTAAATGGGTAGAGAATTTTCAATTTTTTTTTAAGAATTAATGCACTAAAATAATTGAATGGTTGTTTTAAATGTAGTATTTTATAAATTTTATAGGTATTAAGAGTAAAAAGTTTTGGCATTGGGTTATTGATTCAAAATAACCGATTTATATTATAATTAATTAGAATATCTTATTTGGATTAAAAGGTGTATAAATGATTTTGTGATACTCTTAGTTGAATTAATTCAATTTTAAGGCATAACAAAAGTATTCAAAATATTTTAATTGGATTAAAACAATGTATATATATAAATAAGTTGATAATCGTATTTGTAAAATTCATTCAAAAATTCATAAACAATTATGCTTCTCTATTCTCTCTAGATTCTCTCAGTATTTCTCTTAATACTTAGTAGTAATTTTGATCTTTACTAAGCATCATTAGAATGTGACAAGCACAATGCTCATATAATAAATTTTAATCTTTAAAAAATTGTGAAACATATTAAGGAGTGGTTAGAATTTAGTATCGTCAAATACTCGGTTATTCAACTTTAGTTTGTATAAATTAATATCAATTAAATGAAGCTTATTTATAGCTTTAATAGGTTGTAAACTTTTTTCATTTGACTTAAATAAATAGTAAGTGTTAATGAAATAGAAAATCAACTTTGCTCATTTTTATTTCAAGGAGTAAAAACAATATTTGTTTGAAGGGTAGAGAACTTTATGTGGGTTAAATTTTTAAAAAATGATATAGAAGTTTACTCTTTGTCTATTCTTAGTGTTTAGGGGTATTTTTACTCCCTTTTTATAGACAAATAAAGAGGCCTTCCAAAGGGAGGTTTGATAGGTACCTGGATATACATATCAAGGGGCATAAGAGACATTTTGCATGAAATTTACCCATCTCTCTCCTCCTTTCTCTCACCCCCATGTGCTGAATCTAAGTGTACCAATGGGTGATTAATAGTATCACTAGATGATCAAATAGTATCATTGAACATTCAGTGGTACTATATATTCATTCAATGGTACTGTATATTCATTTTGTGGTACTAACTACGTGTAGAAATAGTATCACTACATAGTCAATGATATTATATAAGCTTTCAGTGGTACATTTAAAACTGGTCTCACGTGCCCATCTCTCTCCTACCCCCATGTGCCTTTCAATACTTTTCAATTTTTTAATGTTTGATATTTATTTGCACATACATATCAAACCTACATTAGTACTTCCTCGACAAATGAAAGGTCAGGCCAGCAAGTGGCCCAATTATAAGCTGACACGTGGCATCCTGCTAAGCTAAATAAAGGCCAATAAGAGCATGACACGTGGCCTAAAGAGAGATATCATAAAATAAAGGGCTCAAATCCCACATTAAGGAAACATGCCTAGCATGAAGGAAACCCTAATACACGTGTCAATCACGTATAGGGCAGCCGATTTTCCCAGGTTATGAAACCCTAGGAGCATGATATCCCATTTCCCTATAAATACCACATCCTTTCATGATGGAAAGAGAGAACACACAATTCCCAAAGGCATAATGCCCAAAATATGCTCTCACTCCTCTCTCTAAAATTCTGTTTTCCAGTCTCAAACTTGATCGTCGGAGGCGGATCTTCAGTAAATTGGAGATCCGTTGTTTTGCAGGTGTTCAGGTCGTACGAGTATAGCGTTCCAGATCTGTCTCCCGAGGGAATCCATACCCTCCTTCAGGTTATCCAAAAAATCCCTAAAACATTTGGCACCGTCTGTGGGGAGACACATCTGGAATGAAACTTAGCCATATCCGAATTAACACCAAATCATGAAGTAGAACTCTTCGTTACAAATTTAACCCAATGTGAGGGCAAAGTTGTAATTCTTCTAGATCGTCGTCATTCTTAAGAAGAATGATATGAACTCTTGTATGTAGATAAGACTTGGGCGGCACTAAAACCCAAAGTCATGATCATTATTATGATTATAAAAAAAAACAAAAAATTCAAATAAAATTCTCTTCAAGCTACATTGTTTTATATGCGCCCGCGAGCTAGTCAAACGACTTGTAAAATTGATGAGGAAATACGTCCGAGCAAAAGAAAGAAGCTCGTGGACACGAGCATAGCTACTCGTACAGGGCAATCAAGTAACCTGTACGAGCCAAATTAAAAAGCTTGCTTACACAAGCATAATGGACGGACGGATGAACATAAGGAAGTCCTAAAAATCACCCTAGGTATTTTTACCCAAGCGGGGCAAGGGCATGCCTAGGCTTACAAGCCCTTAAAAATTTACAAGTTGAGAAATACTTGAAATTTCATGAGTACATCCGAGAAATAGTGTCAAAGGACGACTCAAAACCACCCAAAAAGAAAAAGAACATATATATACAAAAGTATATAAGCCAAATGGCCATTTATTAGATTAAAAAAAAAGAAAAGAAAGAGAATGAAAATAAAAGTGGTCGAGATGCACTTAAATGAAAGCTCGTCTTCGAGCTATGGATCGACATAAATGGCCGAGTAGTGCATGGGTTGGCTAGTAGCAAGGAAAATGAAGCTTTAAAAATTTTTCGAGCTTGTGGTAAGAAAGAAGCAAGAAGGTTCTAAGCTGGTGAAATGGTAGTGAGGTCGTGTAAAATTTGGAAGATGACTTCTAGAAAAATATCTACCAAGCGAATTATTGAAGCACACCTTCATGAACATAGCAGCTCGGCAATTGAGCAGCTAATCCGAGTAGCATGGCCATGTGCTTGGCCGAGCTGCCCCTCATTAAAGTATTATGTTACCCTTTTTGTATGGCCACCCATGGACAAGTAAAGTTGTAATGTACGTATGACCTTGAAAGCATAGATGGTCGGCTAACTAAAGGTGGGTGTCCGAGTTGCCATCATGCATAGCTTTATGATCCAAGTTCTATACGATCAATGCACCCAAGAGTAGCTCAATTGAGCTGGACGAATGGAATTGGAAACCACATTGCAAACACAACAACTCGGCAAAGCATAGCAGCAG